CGCCGCGGGCCTCGGGGGAGCCCCCTCCCACCCGGGGAAACGATGCCGGGGCTGCTGCGGGGGGCAGAGTTAAGGTTATCGGGGTGTTGGGGGTCTCCACGGGAGGTCTGAGTGCTCAGCACCCCTCAACACCAGCCCCTCTGCCACCCTTGTGGCAACAGCTCCAGGACACCCTGTGCCTTGAGGTGACAGGGTGACCTGTGCGTGTCCCCCATGTCCCCCCCAGTTGCAGCCCTGACGGAGTCACTGGAGGCGGAGAAGACGAAGGAGCTGTCGAACGTGGGTGTGTGTCCACGCCACGTGCGTGTGTGTCCCCCCTTTCCACGGTGACACCCACGGATGTGTCCCCAGTCCCTGCGTGTCCCCTCCCCGGTTCACCGGGAACCTCTCCACAGCCTCCCAGTCCTTCCTGCTCTACAACGAAGACCACCGCAAATGCGTGGAGGCCAGCGGGCAACAGCTGACGGCAACGATGTGCCGGCCCAAGGTCGCGGCACAACGGTTCCAGTGGTTGCACGGGGGCCGGCTACAGGGCTGGGGGAGCCAGCGCTGCATTACGGCAACCCACGGGCAAAACCTGGCCCTCGTCAGGCTGGAGCCGTGCCGGGACGATGGCGTGCTGCAGCGCTGGGAGTGCCGCGACGGTGGGCTGTTGGCCCTCGCCGGCTACGATCTCTACTTCAATTACGGCAACAACCAGAAGCAGACGGTGATGCTCTACACCGGGGACCGCGAGTGGAGCCGCTGGGTCATCCACGGGAGCAAGGATGACATCTGCTCCCGCTCCTGTCAGTCCCGGCACCTTTATCCCAAATATGTAGGACTTCACCTAACCCTACGCTGGCTGAAGTTCAGCCCTAACCTGCATGGATACCACTTAAGCTAAGCTCAAACTGCAACAGGCCCCTAAACCTGATCTAACTCTACATATAGAGTGACTTAGGTGACTCAACCTAACCCTAACTGATCCCAAACTTTAATGGGGTCCTAACCCTGACGCACACTTAAGCCTAAGTATATGTAACAACCTAAGCCTAAATGAGGTCAAACTTTGGTGGGGTCTTAACCCAGCTCAAACCCTAAATGTATGTGGCTTTACCTAACCCTAAGCTAGCCCAAACCCCAATAATCCTCACCTAGCCCTATCGCTAAATATAAAGGATCTAAATTAATCCTAAACTAGCCCTAATCCCAGCAGGGACCTAACCCATCCATAGCCCTAAATATCTAGGATTTAAGCTAACCCTAATTCAGCCCAAACTTCAGCATGTTCCTAACCCCAACCCAATCGAAACCCTAGATATATAGGACTCAAACTAAACCCAAACACCAGTGGGACCCTAACACAGTTATAACCCTAAATATGTAAGATTTAACCTAAACCTGACCCAGTCTAAACCCCAATGGGACACCAAAACCCAGTCCTAACCCTAAATACATAGGATTTACCCCAAAACCCAGCAGGGCTCTAACCCTATCCCAGCTGTAACACTAACCAGGCAGGGATGCTCGGCAGCTCCCACAACCGGGGTCGTGCCTCCGGTCAGGGCTGTCCCCGGTTTATGGGGTCTCGCAGCCCCAGCTTAGGGGGTGACCCCACTTTTCTGTGTGTCCCCCCTCCCCAGGCTGTCCCCCTTGCTCCAAAGGCTGGACCTATTTTAGGAATTCCTGTTATTTCTACTCCAAGACAGCGAGCTCCTGGGAGAACGCCCAACGTTTCTGCTCGGTCCTGGGCACAAAGCTCCTGGAGGTGGACGGCCCCGAGGAGAAGGTGAGGAGGGACGGATCCAGGCATCCGGGGAGGGGGTGTCGAGGGGGAATATGGCATCATGTCCTACCTGCCACCGGAACCTGCTGTCCCCTCGCTGTCCCCAAGGGTGGGCAAGGGGCCCGGGGGGGCTCTGCCATGGGGCGACGCTGCCTTTGCCCCCAGGATCACATCCGGAGCATGCTGCAAAGCTCCTCCTGGCTCGGCATCCGGGATGAGGAGGTCGAGGGCACCTGGAAGCTGGCGAACGGAACTATCTTGCCCCAGGAAAGCGGGTACGGGCCAGCGGGCACTGGGGACAAGGGGACGGGGGCTTGGGGACGCAGAGGGACACCCCTAAACTGTCCCGATCCCTCTCCTCGTCGCAGCTCGTGGCACAGGAACGAGCCCAACGGCGGGCGCCTGGAGAACTGCGCGGTGGTGAGGGAGGAC